CCGAGGCAAGAGGATTGCCTGAGCCCACAGGTTCAAGACCAGCATGGGCAACTTGGTGAGACCTCATCTCTACAATAAATCAAAAAATTAGCCAGGCATGGTGTTGCATGCCTGTGGTCCCAGCTACTTGGAAAGCTGAGACAGAAGGTTAGCCTGAGCCCAGCAGGTCGAGGCTGCGATGGCCATGAGCATGCCACTGCACTCCAGCCTGGTCGACAGAGTGAGGCTCTGATTTAAAAAAAAAAAAAAACAAAGAAAGTTCTTCTTATTTCTTAAGTTTAACTTCAGGAAAGTGCTTAGAGCTCAGAATATTGTTTATGTTTGCTTAAAGCTATTTAAGTGACCTCTTAGCCAAATTAAACTATTTGGTGCAAATACAAATATCAACATCCTCATAGCCGTCTAAATGGCAATACATACCCTATAGCCAACTTGATGCTAAGTAGATTTTCCCTCATTGCTTACATCTTATTTCTGATATGATCCACATGAACATGCTGTAAACCACGCTTCTGTGTGAATAATGCTGCGCATATAACCCTCTGATTTGGTTCAGACAGGAAACATTTAAGATGCTGATTAGCACCTCTTCTTCCTCTTTTTGACATGACTGTAAATAATTTGTCCAATAAAAAAGAAAAGCTTTTCTCAGTGAGTCCAAGTCTACTGAATTTCTTGTTAGCTCTATCTCATGACATCATTGGAATGTCAAAAAGTCTAGATGTGACTAGAAGTTACTGGTCTATTGCTGATATTGCTGACAGGATTAGTACCTACCAGCTGAACAATACATAATGTTGTGAGGGCATTACACTTAAGGTTATATTCTTTTTATTTTGAATTGTCTTCCTCAGAGGTATTTAATGCCTAGGATACTGAGATCAAGTTGGGCTCTTATGTCAGCTGCATAACTTTGACTATGGTTTTGACAGTTTATCATGTTTGTTATGTTTCTGCAAATTCAAACTATTTCCTATGGTTAGCAGCCATCTGGGTCAAAAGTAAAAGTAAGAAATAACTGTATTATACAAATATTGCTTAATAATAATTTTCACATTGGCCTAAAGACTTTTGCAAATGACCTGTAATCCAAAAAATCAGTAGGTGGGTCTTTAAACAAACCTATTTTATGTTGAAGAAACACATCTACTGACATAGTCACCATGTAAAGGTGTTGTTAGAAAACGTTCACCAGGTGTAGATGGTGTTGTGTTGTCCAGTTGTCCAAAGGAAGCCTGTCTTTAGGATAGAGGGCCATAAACTTCCTGTTGGACTTTTGCATCTTAGGATGAATGGTTCTGGAGAACCCTGGTGGTTTCTTTCAGGACTTGAACACTATGTGTAGATCAAGGATAAGAGAGAGTTGAAAAAGTTATTCTATGCATAATTTTTCTATTACTCATCTTTCTGTAAGTATTAATGACATCAGCAGAGAAAATAGTATGGAAAAAAGTATGGATAAGCTAATGGAAGTAGTGATTTATTCATACTGTTTGCTAATTACTTCACTTTTATTTTTTCTAATTTCCATAGATCACCTTTTTTTTTTTTTTGAGTTGGAGTCGCATTCTGTTGCTCAGGCTGGAGTGCAGTGACTCGCTCACAGTCACTATAGCCTCCACCTGCTGGGCTCAGGTGATCCTTCTGCCTCATCCTTCCAAATAGATGGAGCCACAGGCGTGTACCACCATGTCTGGCTAATTTAATTATTAATTATTATTTATTAAGACGAGTTCTTGCCAGGTTGCCCAGTTTCAAACTCCTGGACTCAGGCAATCCTCTCTCACCTCTGCCTCCCAAAGTGCTGGGATTACAGGCGTGAGCCTCCGTGCCTGGCTACTTTTTTTTTTTTTTTTTTCTTTTTCCCTAAGCACTTTCTTACTCCCTTTTTTCTCATAGTGGAAAGATGAAATGAAGAAGTATTTTTTTCAAGAGATGATTTTGTGTGTTTTCCTTTGTTTTTAAGTTAGGACATGATCTGTAGCTAAGCCAGAGGAGAATTTCATTTTTCTTTATTTTAGTTTAATCTCTAAAGGTAAATCTAGATTTTCTTTAAAGGGAAAACTTTCCATATCAAATCTCTTACAGGCTGGGGAGGTTACTAGTGTTCTTATTTTGTCATGTTGGCTTTTGTTTTTAATGTTGAGACTTTTGTCTGACTGTGTACAGAGGAGCTGAGTTGTGTGGCATTACCCAGGACGTTTCTTACGTTTGAGACCTTTTGGTGGATCATCCTGATGACTGAAGTAAGCACCTCAGAAAGGAATATGTTTCTATGAGGAGCATTAGAAAAAGAAGGATTTAGGTAGAGAAAACTTATTTTGTCTTCTTTATCCACTATTATTCATCTATTCTTTCCTGTCTTTTTGTGGCCTTGTCTTTGATACTTTAACATACTCCCTTGAAACTCTATTTTGCTCATTAGGTCTCAGCAAAACATGACACTTAGTTGCATTTTCTTTCTCCTCTTTGCTTTTATAAGTGAAACAGGTCCAATGATTTGTGATTACATGTTCAACAGAACCCTTCACTTTAATAGAAGCTTCTATTTTTCTCCCTCGGATGACTGCATTCTCTGGTTTAAATGGGTAAAAACAATACTTGTACTTCCTTAACTGTAAATCCCATCCTGTGTTTTATGACTCTGTACAGTTGGAGCAGACCTCTGGTTGGTGGATTGCGGAACCAGAATTTCATTTTCTGAATCACTTTCTTAAAAAAAAAAAGTTTAAGGCGGGGCTCGGTGGCTCAACCTGTAATCCCACGCTTTGGGAGGCCAAGGTGAGTGAATTGCCTGAGCCCGCGGGTTTGAGACCCGCCGGGGCAACTTGGCAAGACCTCATCTTTACAATAAATCAAAAAGTTAGCTGGGCGTGGTAGCGCGCGCCTATAGTTCCGGCTACTCGGAAGGCTGAGGCAGAAGGATCGCCGGAGCCCAGCAGGTCGAGGCTGCAGTGGCTGGGAGCGGTCACTGCACTCCAGCCTGGGTGACAGAGTGAGACTCCAACTCAAAAAAAAAAAAAAAAATTTAAGAACCCGTCTTCCCAGCATAATAATGTTGAGTATACCAAAAGCATTTACTATGTGAGCTGGAAGGTAGTAGGAGTTTTGGAAAAGGTTTTTAGGAAATGCATGTCTTCCTCAAAGGCCACAAACCCATGCTTTTATTAGTACTATGGTGATAAAGGGCTATAAAGAATATTCCTGGCCAGGTTTGGTTGCTCACATCTGTAATGCCAGTGCTTTGGGGAGGTCCAGGTGGGAAGATTACTTGAGCCCAGGAATTCGAGACCAGTCTCAGCAATATAGTGAGTCCTTGATTCCTTGTCGCTACAAAAAATAAATAAAAAATTACCTGGGTGTGGTGACATTCACCTGTATTCCTAGCTACTTGGGATGCTGAGGTGCGAGGATCACTTGAGCCCAGGAGTTCAAGGCTTTGGTGAACTGTGATCGTGATACTGCACTCCGGTCTGGGTGACAGAGTGAGACCCCAACCCAGAAAAAAAAGAGTATCTCTGAGATGGAGAAGGTTATGTATGAAATATAGAGATTGTTTCAGGAAAGGACTGTTAATTAAGGTAGAGAGAAGCTTAAAAAAACAGCAACAGGCAGGCCCCTTGGGATCTTTCCATGTCTCATTGGTAGTAGGGGGAGAATAAAGATTTTATTAATAACTGCTACTACTAATACTCTATATAATTCAAATAAGACAAGACATTTATAAAAACTGCATTTGTAGTGTTATCAGCTTAGATGGAAATTGCATGGAGAATGAATGAATTTGGGGAATTAACTGATACTCCACTGGACTCCAGTAGAGCTATTTCTCTCAGAGTATTATAGGGATCTTTTTTTTTTCCTTTTTGTCAGTGTCTCACTGTCATCCAGGCTGGAGTGCAGTGGCATGTTCATGACTACCGCAGTGTTGATCTGCTAAGCTCAGGCAATCCTTCTGCCTCAGTCTTCCAACTGGAACTACAGTCATGTGCCATCATGCCCAGCTAATTTCTTTGTTTATTGTGGAGAGGAGGTCTTGCCTAGATGCCCAGGCTGGTCTTGACCCCCTGGACTCAGGCAGTCTCTTGCCTCTGCCTCCCAAAGTGCTGGGATTACAGGTGTGAGCCACCACTCCTCACAGGGATCTTTTTCTTAACAGTTTTTAATCTTTAGAGGCGGAAGAACCCAATACCTACTAACCATGGATTCTATAGTAGGAGCTCGTTTCTTTCCCTCTAAGTCAGCTAACAATTCACCATGTTTAAATGTCATGAAATGAATATTGGTACAGGAAGAGGATAGATGATTTGGGGTACAGAATTGCCAGATTATGAGATGATGTTTTTAGTTAGTGTATGTTTATAGATGAATAAAATTTCATTCTTGCCTTTCTGTGTTGTGTCCTCCTGGGATGTGGACCATTTGGTTCATGGAATGAAAACCACCAGGGTGGTCCCTTTTGCTTCCAAAAGTGCTAGGAAGAGGGAACAGGAAGGCTTTGGTCACTATGTTATTTAAATCCTCTTAAAACTTTGAGACATCATCTATTATTTCATATTCAGAATCCCCTTGACCCATTTTAGTGGTTTCTGATGATTTAGCCTGCATGTTAAAAGTATAGTGTTGATTTATAAAGAAATACATTAGGAATTTTAAAGCTGAATGATTGAGGGATTTGGATTGCTTCTCTTTCACAGATCTTCCTGTGGGACCTTTGTTTAGGGTAAAAATAACAGGAAGTTTGCATGTATTTACTTTGTTTTCATTCCCTTCCTCCATTTCAAAATCCTATCTACCTGTCCTTAATGTGGTTATGCATGTCATTTTTACATTAACAATTAGGATCAGTTGTGTGGCCGGGACCCTACTCTGACTGATGAGCTGCTGAATATTCTCACAGAGCTAACTCAACTCAGCAAGACCACCAATGCTAAAGTGGCACTGCGAGCACGCCAGGTAAGGACGTTTGTTGGTTATCTTGATGGTATTCATGGAGGGATGGTTTTTATTGATTGGACAGTCCTAGACACAATGAAATGTATGTGATCACCTTAGAAAGATCATACAATTTGCTGTGTATGTCACAGTTCCTTCAGAACAAATGTTTTCATGTGGTGTATGATTTTTTTTTTTTGAGTTGGAGTCTCACTCTGTCGCCCAGACTGGAGTGCAGTGACCGCTCCTGGCCACCGCAGCCTCGACCTGCTGGGCTCTGGCGATCCTTCCGCCTCAGCCTTCCGAGTAGCCGGAATTACAGGCATGCGCTACCATGCCCGGCTGATTTCTTGATTTATTGTAGAGATGAGGTCTCGCTGCCCAGGTGGGTCTCGAACCCGTGAACTCAGGCAATCCACTCACCTCAGCCTCCCAAAGGCGTGGTATTACAGGCTGAACCACTGAGCCCAGCTGATTTTAAACAAAAAAGAATACATTAATGCTGAGTCTTTTTAAAATAGGAGCCCTTTCTGCATTAAAAGTCCTGGTAGCAGTCCCTATCCTCCCTAGCAACCTGGGGTAGTAAGCCAGGGTCAGGTGGAGTAAAGGACACTGAGGGAAGGAAATAGACTCAATATTTCTTGCTTCTCAAAGGGAACTCAGGAGCAGATGAAAACTTTTAAGTGTACAGGAAATAATCAAGTGTGGAAAGCAGAAAGATAATGAAATGAATCTTAGGCACAAGCAATCAGAACAACCCCAGAGAAGTCCAGTTAGTTTCACCCTGCAGTCTTCATTTCCATTCCAAAAGGTTTCAGCAGGGAAGCCATGAGAGTCAGTGCTCTCTTTGTGTTTCAGTCCATGGTCATTGACAGGGAAGCAGCATTTGAAGCTGTTCAGTGACCTTCTGCTTTCTGTACAATTGTATCCATATCACTGAACTACTCAAAGTTATTGAACCTCTCAGTGACCTGCTGAGGGTATTCAGATCCTACAGTGTCCCTGTTTGTTTATGACACTGCTTTCACTCTCTCTGCCCCTCACATGCATTGGTGTTACTTCCTAATGCCTTCTCCTTGGTGCTGAGTACCTGGGACTGTCAAAGCACCTTTTCCCAGTGTTTCTTTCTATTTCATAGTTGCAAAAGGCTAGCTATGCTGCATCCTCCTTTCCCACAGCTGCTCCCTGCCAGACCTGATTCCCAATTAACAGCTAGTCATGCAGTCCCCAGGACTAGCAGCTTTGCGATGGTAAATCACATGCACTGATGGAACTTGATTGAAGCTGTTTTCTCTCCCTTCCCCCTGTCCCCATGGGAAATTGCCAACAACGCAAATCATGGTGAGAGTCAACTGAGATTCAGTATTTGGTGGCATTGGCTTTATGTTACAGGACCTAGAAGTTGTTTTACTCATTCTCTGTTTTATCTTAGATGCCTTACAGACTTATATTTATTGCTTTTGTATCAGAGCTGCCTAATAGGAGCCTAGAATAATCACTCCAGGAACTTATGCTCTTATTTTGATCTCTCTCTAGGTTCTTATTGCCTCCCATTTGCCATCATATGAGCTTCGTCATAACCAAGTAGAGTCTATCTTCTTGTCGGCTATTGACATGTATGGACATCAGTTTTGCATTGAGAACCTGCAGGTACACACAAACACACACACACACACACACATCTTTCCTACCACTCCACCCTATTGTCCCCTTTATTCACAAGCATAGTTTAATTATTAATGTTGATTTTCTGTGTAATAGAAGTTTTATACCTTGACTTTCTAAACGGCATTATACTTGTGAATATTTTTTTTTCTTCATTAAAATGCTGTTAGAATTGTAGTTTAGCTTAAAAATCAAATAGGCCTCCCTTGATAGAAGTGTTCTGTTGAGGTCTTTACCTCTTGTGATTTTACTTAGAAAGTATTCTAGGGCAGAATTAAGTGTCAACATCGGTTGATTTCTGATACATATATCATATATATATATATCTCCCTACTAAGTTTTCTCGGATGATTTCTGATATTTGAATTAGATGTATACACAGATAGTTGTTATTCTTCTGGAGACAAAGCTATTTAAGTATCTTTTAATTTTATTTTAGTGCTTACTGTTAAGCTTTATAAGGAGCCAATTTCGTGAGAGATTCTTGGCTAATTTTACTACTAATTGGAGGACCTTGACTATTACTATATTTTTAAACAACATCATTTTCTTAGGGTGACTTTATATTTTTCTACCTGGTAACAAGGATATTATTGTTACATCTGCCCAAGGGGAAACTCAGATATCCTGTAAGATTTTCTCCTGGGAAACCTAGAGAAAAAAGAAGGATGTGATTTCTTATATGATTCATAGTTGAAATCTAGAGTTTCAACTGGGGTTCAAATCTAGGTTTTACCACAGTGGAGTACTGAGACAATATTTAGGAAGTAGAATATAGATATATGTCAGACAGGATAATAGCACTTATTAGCATATAATTGCTGAGTTCTCAATGCATTATTCTAAGAATTTTACATGTATTAATTCATATAATGCATCAGCCTTATGAAGTTAGATATTAGTATTTTTTCCATTGTGTAGATAAGGATGATGAAACACAGCGAGGTTAAGTTCCTATTTGGCATGCATAGACAGAATTCTTAGGCTTCACTAAATGCCAAATAGTGTCCACTGAAATTGTTCTCTTTTGGATATAATGGGTTAAGCCTGTCTTTGTACCTTCCAGAAACTCATCTTATCTGAAACATCTATTTTTGATGTTCTACCAAACTTCTTCTATCATAGCAACCAGGTGGTGAGGATGGCAGCTCTGGAGGTAAGTTTTCATGGTAATATGAGATGACCTTTCCATTGTCTCCAGCTGATTTCTTCTGTCTGTTTGGCTATCACGTCAGTTATTTTCTTTGGCCTTAAGGCTGGTTCTAAGGTAATCTTGGTTTCCTCTGAAACAGTAAGTGTTCACTCAGGTACTTTACTCAAGTGATTCATCTGAACTAATCACCAGCTTCTGGTTTCCAATCACAGGAATAATAGCTGCCAGCATTTTTCAGTAGTTTCTATTTTCCAGATATTTGATTTCTCCCATTTCATAATGAGTTAGGATTACCTGCAATACAATAAGTGAAAATATATGACTGATCAAAACATATGTAACCTTACCATTTTGAAATTTGGGCCAAATTAAAATGAATTTTAGTTATATCTTGAATTGTCTTATGAAATATTTCATCATAGGAAAGAAAGTCATAACATTTAATGAACTGTGTTTTAGGTACATTATTTTTCTCATTTAACCCTACAGTTACTTTATGAAGTAAGAAGAAAGTGAGACTCTGAGAGGTTAAGTGACTTGCTCAAAACCACGTAGATAGTAAGTGGAGGAGTTTGCATTTGAACTCAGGTTAATCTGACTTCAAAGATTTTTGTTTTCACTATAGCACACTACCTCATTAAGCACAAAAGTTACAGGCCCTGAATACTGCTATAAAGTTGCCAAGTAGATGTTTTTTGTAGATGGAGAAAAGTGTTTTAGATGATTTTATGTAATATTACCACAGTCTGTTGGCAGCTCCTTAGTGTTACTTTTTATTTGTATTCTGTGGGTAGAGTATAAAGTATCCTACTAGTAAATATCAAAGTTTTTAAATATCTAAGTGTTTTAGAGTGCTTTCATGTCATTTAATGAGAAACCTGCTTATATGCCTTACATGCCATAGAATCCCAGGTAGCATTTTATGTGCATGGCAAATTGGCTATGCAGTGCATGAGGTTAGACTGATCATTTTTACAGAGATGCATCCTATTGCTGTTTCTTTAACTCTTGAGTCAAGATGATATATTCGAGATATCGTATGTCAAATTATACCTTCCTGCTTTTGCCCAGAGTTTGGGAATCTAAATAATCCAAAACTGATTTTGAGTGGGGAGGGGGAGAAACACAAAACAAAGATACAAAATAGTAAAAGAAAGATAGAAAAAGAGTTGAACTATACTGCGATTGTTTTTGTCTTCTGTCTTTACTCCTTAAGCGACCCAGAATCAGTACCTCCAGTTTTTTGTCACTGCTTGCTTTTATCTTCTGTTAAAATTATCGTGTTTAATGAGTTAATAGTTGTGGTTCTATATGCTCTCTTTTGCTAAAGAGTCAGCCTTTTCCAGGGTTTAGATTATATGAAAAAAGGTTTACAATGTTCATAGATATCCAGCAGAGGCACCCTAGTTGTGTTTTCATTTATAGTCATGAGTATAGTATTAAGACTCAAGCTTTAAAATTCAAGTAAGGTATGTGTATGCATAGGACCTTGGGACTTATCTCACCACAATTCACCTTCTGCGTCAGATACTTCATTTCAAAACTATCTTTTTTCTGGGCTATTCTCTTAATTTCTGATTTTGAAGTTTATTTACTGAGGGTTACTTTTGAACCAGGTATATGTTCGAAGGGCTTATATTGCCTATGAACTTAACAGTGTACAACACCGCCAGCTTAAGGACAACACCTGCGTGGTAGAATTCCAGTTCATGCTGCCCACATCTCATCCAAACAGGTGAGTTTGAGATGGTATGTGCCTATGAGCCAGAGGTATACCATGAGAGTCAAGGGGAGTAATGTATATAGCAATTCCATGTTTTTTAGCTAGCAATGTAGGGCAAAAAATGAACAAATATGAACCACAAAAGAAGAGCTTCTTGGTGCCCACTTATTTGATCTGGAGAAATAAAGTATGGTCTCATTATGATAAAAATTTAGGATTACTTCATTTATTCTTGTTTGCATTATATCACTGAGGAAACAGTTTTTTTATTTATTCCCTCTTTTTTCTTTCTTTATTTAAAGTTAGAATTTAACAACAATTTACTTGCTAAAACTCTACCAGAAAATCACTCTTTTAACAATGTAAGTCAGCAGTTGGAACAAAAGGATATCTTAGGTAGAATGCTTTGCTTTTCTATATGTTTGCTATGGGTTGAGGTTATACTTGAGCCAGTTTCATTATCTCTCTAAAAACACCTGAATCTGGCAGTTGAGATTCAATCAGTTTTAAAAAATCATATTTCAGAACCAAACTTCTTGAATTCAAGTAAATTACTTAAACCATGATAATTTCATTATCCTTCTTCCTTTCCTAAGTCCTTTAAAAAGTAAAATGTGCACATGAAAAATTGTTTCAGTATTGCTTTTGTTTTAAAATGAAAATATTTTAAATATTCATTTAAAAAAAATATTTTAAGGCAATGAAAATCTAGGAATTCCAGCCACACATTTGTTCAACCCCTCCTGTATTTTCATTTGTTTTAGTAATACTGTAGGAAATATAAATACCACAGCCAATCTTAATCTGCCCCTCTCCCTTTCTTCTCTATGGCCTTTGGTTCTTCACTTGGTATTACAAAGTACTATGTCTTTGGGGGGATCTTAGTTACAGACACCAGAAATGGTTTTGTTCTAAATTGCTACTTCGCCCAAAGCAATAGAAACCTTTTCCATAGACAAAGAAGTCTGTGCTGAGACTTTTGGCCACTGGATGCCACTGTTGATCCAGCAGAGAGCGGAAGATGAGCAGAGGCTTCTTCAGAAAAAGTACCTCTCTTCTTTGTCTCAGAAGATCCTTTCACTTCTCTACCTCAAAGATACCTTATGGCTGGCAGAGAAAAGCATATATCCTTGATTTAGCAAGCATCTCTCAGTACATTTTTGCCTCCATGGATTTCAGAATCTCATTTTCTAGAAACAAATGGTTGTCCTTCAGCGAGCAGCAAAGTACTCATGACACACATGGGCACAGCACTCAGTCTTCTTTCTTTTCCTGCATTCCTTGAATAATTGTAGAGAACCACACACTATACTTAATGCTCTTTGTAATTCTCAGGGCAGTCTCCTTTTCTTCCTGCTTTCTGCTACTTCTTCCCTTTGGGCAGTGATTTGTAGTCAGGCTGCAGGGCTACTTCTGATTTCTTTCTCTCCTCATCACTCTCCTTGTCTTTCAGAATTGCTCTCCCTGTCCTACTTTTTTATTTGAGGATATGTCCAGTTTCTGAGGGAAGGTTGACTGGAAAATGAGAGAAATTCTTCTTAACTGCTTTGTTAAGAAATGTTATTCACTTTTCCACATCAATGTTGTGAATCTTGGTTAGTCTGATGTGATTTCAAAACTTGTATGCCTGTCCCTTCCAACGTCTGAACACCCTGTGGACAAAGGCTAGACTTGAACAGAACTGTAATCTTGTAGTCTCTCTAACATATTTCTTGATTATCTGTGTAATTTTAAAGCTGCTGGATTGTTATTGTTATTATCATTGTCATCATTATTATTGGTGTAGGTGTGAAGATGAAGATACTTGCAAAATAAAAAGGAAAGATAAAATCTTTGTGAAAACCAGAAAAATGTTAAAATTGCTTTAATGCTTTTTTAGATCTAAAGTCTTTTTGTTAGTGTCAAATGATCAGATTTGATCACATAATGGTGTATTTAGTTCAGAGTATAGCTTGTTCGGTTATCATAGATTTGCTAGTTTGAATTTAGTTTTATAAGATTTTATATATTTTTACAAATGTTTTTGTTTCAATTTGAAGTGATAACCTTATTCCGATACCAACTGGTGTATTGCAATTCAATTCTGACACTAACCACCTGGAGTTAGATCGGATGCCACAAGTAAAGGGCTCAGTCTTTCACAAAACTGCTTCTACTTCAGATGGGACCATGAGTGGGGTCCCCAGGCCACTTGCATTTCTGACCAATTGGCTACAAATTTGGAGGCTCCTACAATTTCCTCAATTTGATAATTCCCTAGGACAACTCAGCACTCAAGTGTTACAGTTTTATTATCAAGATCAGCCAAATGAAGAGCTATGTAGAGCAAAGTATTAGAAATCTTAAGCATCAAGCTTCCCTGTTCTTTCCTTATGGAATCAGAGTGCTTCTCCCTCAGCACATCAGTGTGTTCACCAATCAAGAAACTCCACTGAACGTCAGTGTCCAGAGTTTTTTATCAGGGTTTCATTACATAGGCATGGTTAATTAACACATAGGCTGCATGATTAAACTCAGTCTTCCCTCCTAGAGGTTGGACTGGCTTAAAGCTCCCAATCCTTTAATCATATAGTTAGTCCTTCCTGTGTTTCCCATCCTGAGTCATCGAATATCCTAGCATAAACCCAGGTGTGATCCAAGGGGCTTATGAATAACAGTGACATTTCTATTACTCAGGAAAATTCCAAGGATTTACATTGTCTCTCTCAGGAACCAGAGAAAACAGCCAATCAAATTCTTTATTATACAACAAGCCTGCACACCTTAAAAAGAAATCTATAGTCTCATAGATTTAGCTAGTTTTGAGCAGTACTTTTCTAATTCTTTTTACTTATTCCACTACTTTTATTTTTTTCAATTCTTATTGTTTTGAACAAGCAGTCAAAAAGCACGTTGTTTCTCAATATACAGAAGTGAGTTACAGGGGACTACTAGTGTCCATTCTACTCCCAGTCCTATAAAGCTCAAGTACACAATTATATCCACTAACCTCTTGATTAATGAGTCTTAGAATTATTTGGGGAAGAATTTTGAAAATACACCTGGGCTCCTGATTTCCAAGATCTGATTCATTTTGGATTAGAGTCTAGGTTACAACTTTTTGAAAAAAAAATCTCTGATAATTCTGATGAACACCTATAATTGAAAATCACTACTTCTAGACCAGCACTGTCAAATAGAAATACAATTCATGCCACATATGTAATTTAAAATTTTCGACTGGCCACATTTAAAAGTGTAAAAAGAAACATAAAATTAATGTTAATAAATTTTATTTCTTTTCTTTTTCCATTGTGCCCAAAATACCATTTAAATATGTAAAACATTTGTTAATGAGATTTTTTTATTCTCTTATTCATACTAAGTCTTTGAAATTCAGAGTGTATTTGTGGAGTCTTTTTGTGTTTTTTTGTTTGTTTTGGTTTTTTTGAGACAGGGTCTGGTTCTGTGGCTGAGGCTAGAGTGTAGTGACACAGTCACGACTCACTGCAGCCTCAGCCCAACCTCCTGGCCTCAAGCGATCCTCCCACCCCAGCGTCTCAAGTAGCTGGGCCTACAGGTATGTGCCACCATGCCTAGATAATTTTTGTATTTTTTTGTACAGATTGTGTTCCACTATGTTGCCCAGGCTGGTCTTGAATTTTGGGCTCAAGCGATCCTCCCTCCTCAGCCTCCCAACTTGCTGGGATTACAGGCATGAGCCTCCATGCCCAGCTCAGAGTATATTCTATACTTACGACATATCTCAATATAGACAAGCCGAATTTCAAACATGTTCTTGTCAAATGTGGCTAGTGGCTGCCATGTTAGACAGCTCAACTCTAGACTAAAAATTAGGACAATCAGTTTGAGTCCTCTTTGTTTTACATTAATGGTAGTATTTCTAGGAAAAAGAAAAAAAATCTCTTACTCTTATGTTATTTGTTCTTAGTAGTTACAGGAGTTAAATATCACAGTACAATATTTTTTGCATGCTTTTAAAATTATTCATTGAGAATGGAGAACAAGCATATGAATCATACATATTTTGCTTATCAATGTAAAACAGAATTCTGTAATATTTTTCCCAACTGGGGTTAACAAATTTTTTAAAAATTTTTTTAAGAGATGGGGTCTGGCAACCCTCTCAAGTCCCCTCCTACTATGGGAGCTTTCCTGTCCTCTCAATAAATCCTTTCAAAAAAAAAAAAGAGATGGAGTCTTGCTATATTGCCCAAACTGGTCTCAAATTCCTGGGCTCAAGCAGGCCTCCTGCTTCAGCCTCCCATGGAGCTGGGACCACAGATAAACACCACCATGCTCAATGCAGACCAAAAAAAAAATTTTGGGGGGGGGGCGGGGCCTACAGTCTAACACTCTTACCCGGGTTGGAGGGCAGTGGCATGATCATGGGTCACCATAGCCTTGAACTCCTGGGCTCAGGCAATCCTCCCACCTTGGCCTCCAAACTTTTGGGATTACAGAAATGAGCTATCGCACCCAGCCAAAAATTCTTGGGGGAGAAACCAGATATTTTGTTTAACCAATTTTTTGTATTTTCCTTCCTTGTACTTGGTCTTCACATTCCTAGCCAGTTGTTATTTGAAGTAGACTAAGTTTGTTTAGCACGTTGTTGGAAGTATCTTTGTAATCTACAATATTAAAGCAAGACTATAATCTCTTGTATCTGGGGTCACCTGGTAGAATTCTATTCCTGCAGTTTGTTTCTGTCTAGTGATTTAGCCTCCATGGGTTGGAGGTGAAACATGACTCTGTCTGCAAACTGACAATGGCACAGTTTTTTGTTTGGCTTTTTTTTTTCCTGGAATGTATCTTAGTTGCAGTTTGGATTAAAGACTTGTGTCTCATTAGGACTTGTTTTGATTTTTAGAGAAGTAGGCAAAATACACTAAATTAGTAGGGGAGCCTGTAAGAAGGGAAAAAACATTCTTCTTTTCAGCACACTTGGACAGTTACTTTGTGGTACCATGTTTGATGCCTTTTTATTTAAATTTTAATTTATCATAGAACTT